GGTTCAATCCGGGTTCCGGCACAGAGTGCAGGACTCTGGCGGCTGACCACATTTTTGCAGTCAGTTTAAGGGTTTATTCATCTCTGACCAGTTGTCAAAAGTGATCCACCTCGTAGAGTACATGCAAAATATTTTACATGAGAATATATTCATTAACCCCTTTTCAGCAGAGATTCCAAACGTTCATGGCACTACTACTTCCCTGTGACTTTTGACTTGCCCTGCCTGACGAATTGCTGGTCAGCACAAGAGTATACATGTATCTGTTCAGTGGTCTGCAAACCAATTTCAAATGAAAACACAGCCTTCATCTGGAAAGTAAGCAATTAGCTCGCGCTATATACAGTTCGTTTGAAATGACAGACATGCTCGTCGGCCGGAATAGCTCAGTTGGGAGAGCGTTAGACTGAAGATCTAAAGGCCCCCGGTTCAATCCCGGGTTCCGGCACAGAGTGCAGGACTCTGGCGGCTGACCACATTTTTTTGCAGTCAGTTTAAGGGTTTATTCATCTCTGACCAGTTGTCAAAAGTGATCCACCTCGTAGAGCACATGCAAAATATTTTACATGAGAATATATTCATTAACCCCTTTTCAGCAGAGATTCCAAACGTTCATGGCACTACTACTTCCCTGTGACTTTTGACTTGCCCTGCCTGACGAATTGCTGGTCAGCACAAGAGTATACATGTATCTGTTCAGTGGTCTGCAAACCAATTTCAAATGAAAACACAGCCTTCATCTGGAAAGTAAGCAATTAGCTCGCGCTATATACAGTTCGTTTGAAATGACAGACATGCTCGTCGGCTGGAATAGCTCAGTTGGGAGAGCGTTAGACTGAAGATCTAAAGGCCCCCGGTTCAATCCCGGGTTCCGGCACAGAGTGCAGGACTCTGGCGGCTGACCACATTTTTTTTGCAGTCAGTTTAAGGGTTTATTCATCTCTGACCAGTTGTCAAAAGTGATCCACCTCGTAGAGCACATGCAAAATATTTTACATGAGAATATATTCATTAACCCCTTTTCAGCAGAGATTCCAAACGTTCATGGCACTACTACTTCCCTGTGACTTTTGACTTGCCCTGCCTGACGAATTGCTGGTCAGCACAAGAGTATACATGTATCTGTTCAGTGGTCTGCAAACCAATTTCAAATGAAAACACAGCCTTCATCTGGAAAGTAAGCAATTAGCTCGCGCTATATACAGTTCGTTTGAAATGACAGACATGCTCGTCGGCCGGAATAGCTCAGTTGGGAGAGCGTTAGACTGAAGATCTAAAGGCCCCCGGTTCAATCCCGGGTTCCGGCACAGAGTGCAGGACTCTGGCGGCTGACCACATTTTTTTGCAGTCAGTTTAAGGGTTTATTCATCTCTGACCAGTTGTCAAAAGTGATCCACCTCGTAGAGTATACATGCAAAATATTTTACATGAGAATATATTCATTAACCCCTTTTCAGCAGAGATTCCAAACGTTCATGGCACTACTACTTCCCTGTGACTTTTGACTTGCCCTGCCTGACGAATGGCTGGTCAGCACAAGAGTATACATGTATCTGTTCAGTGGTCTGCAAACCAATTTCAAATGAAAACACAGCCTTCATCTGGAAAGTAAGCAATTAGCTCGCGCTATATACAGTTCGTTTGAAATGACAGACATGCTCGTCGGCCGGAATAGCTCAGTTGGGAGAGCGTTAGACTGAAGATCTAAAGGCCCCGGTTCAATCCGGGTTCCGGCACAGAGTGCAGGACTCTGGCGGCTGACCACATTTTTTTTGCAGTCAGTTTAAGGGTTTATTCATCTCTGACCAGTTGTCAAAAGTGATCCACCTCGTAGAGCACATGCAAAATATTTTACATGAGAATATATTCATTAACCCCTTTTCAGCAGAGATTCCAAACGTTCATGGCACTACTACTTCCCTGTGACTTTTGACTTGCCCTGCCTGACGAATTGCTGGTCAGCACAAGAGTATACATGTATCTGTTCAGTGGTCTGCAAACCAATTTCAAATGAAAACACAGCCTTCATCTGGAAAGTAAGCAATTAGCTCGCGCTATATACAGTTCGTTTGAAATGACAGACATGCTCGTCGGCCGGAATAGCTCAGTTGGGAGAGCGTTAGACTGAAGATCTAAAGGCCCCGGTTCAATCCGGGTTCCGGCACAGAGTGCAGGACTCTGGCGGCTGACCACATTTTTGCAGTCAGTTTAAGGGTTTATTCATCTCTGACCAGTTGTCAAAAGTGATCCACCTCGTAGAGTACATGCAAAATATTTTACATGAGAATATATTCATTAACCCCTTTTCAGCAGAGATTCCAAACGTTCATGGCACTACTACTTCCTGTGACTTTTGACTTGCCCTGCCTGACGAATTGCTGGTCAGCACAAGAGTATACATGTATCTGTTCAGTGGTCTGCAAACCAATTTCAAATGAAAACACAGCCTTCATCTGGAAAGTAAGCAATTAGCTCGCGCTATATACAGTTCGTTTGAAATGACAGACATGCTCGTCGGCCGGAATAGCTCAGTTGGGAGAGCGTTAGACTGAAGATCTAAAGGCCCCGGTTCAATCCCGGGTTCCGGCACAGAGTGCAGGACTCTGGCGGCTGACCACATTTTTGCAGTCAGTTTAAGGGTTTATTCATCTCTGACCAGTTGTCAAAAGTGATCCACCTCGTAGAGTACATGCAAAATATTTTACATGAGAATATATTCATTAACCCCTTTTCAGCAGAGATTCCAAACGTTCATGGCACTACTACTTCCTGTGACTTTTGACTTGCCCTGCCTGACGAATTGCTGGTCAGCACAAGAGTATACATGTATCTGTTCAGTGGTCTGCAAACCAATTTCAAATGAAAACACAGCCTTCATCTGGAAAGTAAGCAATTAGCTCGCGCTATATACAGTTCGTTTGAAATGACAGACATGCTCGTCGGCCGGAATAGCTCAGTTGGGAGAGCGTTAGACTGAAGATCTAAAGGCCCCGGTTCAATCCGGGTTCCGGCACAGAGTGCAGGACTCTGGCGGCTGACCACATTTTTTGCAGTCAGTTTAAGGGTTTATTCATCTCTGACCAGTTGTCAAAAGTGATCCACCTCGTAGAGTACATGCAAAATATTTTACATGAGAATATATTCATTAACCCCTTTTCAGCAGAGATTCCAAACGTTCATGGCACTACTACTTCCCTGTGACTTTTGACTTGCCCTGCCTGACGAATTGCTGGTCAGCACAAGAGTATACATGTATCTGTTCAGTGGTCTGCAAACCAATTTCAAATGAAAACACAGCCTTCATCTGGAAAGTAAGCAATTAGCTCGCGCTATATACAGTTCGTTTGAAATGACAGACATGCTCGTCGGCCGGAATAGCTCAGTTGGGAGAGCGTTAGACTGAAGATCTAAAGGCCCCCGGTTCAATCCCGGGTTCCGGCACAGAGTGCAGGACTCTGGCGGCTGACCACATTTTTTTGCAGTCAGTTTAAGGGTTTATTCATCTCTGACCAGTTGTCAAAAGTGATCCACCTCGTAGAGCACATGCAAAATATTTTACATGAGAATATATTCATTAACCCCTTTTCAGCAGAGATTCCAAACGTTCATGGCACTACTACTTCCCTGTGACTTTTGACTTGCCCTGCCTGACGAATGGCTGGTCAGCACAAGGGTATACATGTATCTGTTCAGTGGTCTGCAAACCAATTTCGGTGTGATATTGTCTGGACAACCTGACTCACATACTCCGTAGTATTATATTTTGATATTTGAAATGGTTAGTTTTGATATGTTGCTGATGTTTTACTGTCCTTCTTACAGATATTTCGCATTTGAATGTGTTAGCAATGCGCGTGAAACCTTTGACATGTTACATCAACTGCTGTGGGCGTGGTGGGCGTGGTGGGCGAACTGGCTAAAGCGCCAGGCTAGTGATGCAACGAGCTTGAGGTAACGGTATTGATCCCACTTGGGACCGGGTGTAAAAACCTTAGAGTCAACTTTGTGTGCAGACTCTTTCAATGTTGACACAACCCCTAGTGTACAGTACACAACCCTGTGCACTTAAAAGAACCCACGAATCCGTTGGTATATGAACAGATGGTGGCCACATGATCCCAGGGAGTTGAGATTGATAATACGACGTGACGTTGAGATTGACATCCAGTGATCGAGGGAGAAAACAAAGCGCCTTTGAGCAGCTGAGCTGGATACAAGCGTGTGCGTGTGCGTGCGTGTGCTCGCAAAATTAGGTATAGAGTTAAACAATCCCACAGTCTGGAAGAGAAGTAGGAAGAGTATAAACACCGCAACAAACTCCTGGCTGTAATCGAACACTTCCGTACTGAAAGGTGGAAGCTGAGAAATACCGTTGTCAATCAAGAAAAGGGAAGAACTTGGCAACATGGTCCACTCTCAGTAAATTCCGCTGTTAACAAATATGGGTACAATGTGTGAAGCCCATTTCTGGTATCCTCCGCCGTGATGTTGCTGGAATATTGCTAAAAGCGGCGTAAAACCAAACTCAGTTAGTCAGTCAGTCAGTTAACAAACAACGTATTTTGGGCAGAAGGCCGATCGTAAGAATGCATCCTTGATCCGTAGATCGTTTCATCCAGTGCCGACATCCGTTGCCAAAATGGAGCATTTGCAAGGACAGAATAAAAAAACAACATCTTGATATTGTGCAAAAGAGGTTTGCCCAGATCTAGGTATACTCGGACCTCGCTGCATTCATGGTATCGCGGCAAACGGTATTTCCGTTTTTCCGCGCGATACACCCCTCTTGGCGGAGATTTGCATATGTTAATCGGCAGGTCAGTCGCTTGTTTCCTTTTTGAAAACCAGCAGGGTGTTCACAATTTTATTTACGATTAAGGTTATCTATGTCAAGCACCGCGATACAACGAGGTCGCAGGCTATCTGTACCGAGAACGCATTTTTTAGGTTAGAACGCTGTGAACATTCGCTAAAACGCGCCAATCTATTGATAACTGAGGTCAGATCGATTACCTGCAGATATTTGGTCCCAAGCTGTAGAGGAGTGGACACGAACCAGTTGTTCTGTCATGAAGAAACAATTTGTTGCCATTGCCTGTTTCAGTGCGGCTATCCTATTTGTGTATCTACATTTAAAATGGAATACATTGAACCCATCACAGTAAGTATCATTGCATGTATAAATTCCGATCGTGGTATCGCTTTAGGTGACTCCAGGTTATAGAAATGACCCCAGACACGATCTAGTGACCTCACCGTTCCCACGAGCTTAATTGTTTCTGTCACCTTTCGGCGGGTTTACTCCCATAACGCAGGTTATCTCCCAGTTGACAGACACCCATTTGACAGACACTAGAACTAGACATTAACTAGAAGGTTAATTATGGTAACGCCTACGGGTATACTGGAACAGTCCACTGTCTAGCGAGTAGAGCAGGGTGAGCCTGAAACAGGTTTGATTGTGGGTAAATAGAACTTGTTGTGATTAAATGATAAATGATTTCTCTTCTCAAAATTGATTTTACTATCAATTACTATCGAATATAAAAACATGTTTGTCACTGAGAGGTTTGATTGTGTTTAAGACCCCTCCCAATAATGTACAACAGAAGTTAACTAAGAAAACGTTTGTTGGAGAGATATAGATATGTACAGTGAAGCCACGTGACTATGTAAATAAACAACAACACCATGACATCGACTAATTATATAAGTGACCCGATTGAAAAATGGGGATTGTTTGCGTAAACAAGAAGAGGTGCTAACATGGAGACGGCGGTACGTACCAAAAATGTACGTCTAGCTGGATCAAATTCATCCCGTACGGTCTACAAGTTGCTCACCGTGAAAGTTAGACAAGCTGTTTGGAGAGAGATAGAAGCAATAAATAAGACATGTAGAGGAAAGCAACGTATTTCATGTTTGCAATATTCATCCTTCATTCGAACAGATACCATAGTTTAACATGAACATTTTAAACGCGAGGGAAATGTTTCATTGGAAATATTCATTCAGTCGAAGCAGGTGTATTCATAGCTAGTGTGTAGCAGATAGACTAAGCAACCGGCCATAACCATGTCAACATACCGGCCTAACAATGTCAACATACCGGCCTAACAATGTCAACATACCGGCCTAACAATGTCAACATACCGGCCTAACAATGTCAACATACCGGCCATAACAATGTCAACATACCGGCCATAACAATGTCAACATACCGGCCATAACAATGTCAACATACCGGCCATAACAATGTCAACATACCGGCCATAACAATGTCAGCATACCGGCCATAACAATGTCAACATACCGGCCATAACAATGTCAACATACCGGCCATAACAATGTCAACATACCGGCCTAACAATGTCAACATACCGGCCTAACAATGTCAACATACCGGCCACGGCCATAACAATGTCAACATACCGGCCATAACAATGTCAACATACCGGCCATAACAATGTCAACATACCGGCCATAACAATGTCAACATACCGGCCATAACAATGTCAACATACCCACCTCGCCTACCGGTGATGGTTCCCATTCATACATTGTGTGACCAGCTGTGTACCGTATTTATGATAAGTTAGGGAAGATGTATTGTACATTTGGTATATTTGAGTTATATGATATATAACCCCCTCAATCAACCTTTGTTTTGTTATTGTTGTTGTTGTGTGTTTGTGTATTAAATGTAACCGGTATTTAATACATTTGAATGAATTGTGGTATTGTAGGAATGTATGTGCGTGTAGATTTTATACATAGAACTGAACACGAATGTATGACACCTTTCAATAGATCAATTACGGTTCTAACCACGACATGAAATATGGGTGTGGCTAGCAGTTCGTATTTATAAACACATCGTAAATAACAGATTTCTGATGAATGAACTCACCCGCACACATGTCTAGGGTCAACATAACTCTGGGTATTTTCAGACCATCCGAACTGTAAACAGTTACACATTGATAACAGGAGGGTGTAGCGTTTGTGCGTAATGCACTCATCCTTGTGAAGGTAAATCCATGTAAAATACGCGTTTAAACTCACAATTTCAATGATGACATTTTACTTTTTAGATGTAATAGTGTGAATGGGTGTCGATGTCTGTCTAGGGACTACACATATTATCATCGAGGTATGTGAAGATTATATTCTATGCAAAAAAAACACACAACAAAACAAGCAATTCATTCATATCATTTATTGATTCAAGTCAATCGATTCAATACAAAGATGTGATATACGAATGGACAATAGGATTTACTCTGGAACATGGAGGTCAACATTTCAGTCACTCTATACACCTTCTGCTGCTTCAAGGCGCGATTGTTTAAACGGCAAGTCCATGTTTTGAAACACATTTCGCACTGTTGAATATTCAGTTCACCTTACCTATGCTGTTTTAAGGTTGAATGGTTATCTATAGTCTATATTTTAACCACTGCCTTTAACGATTTCCGTCCAGGGGGTCCCAGTTTCACAACTCCTCTCACGTAGAGGGAAATAATTCGGCGTTTCTCATCGTTCAAGCGCCTCAGTTTATGAGGTGTTTTCAAAATATGAATCAAACTAGACGTGCGGCGTTGACTCGGCATTCTCTTCTGACTGTTGGACTGATATACTAATGACCGGTATTTATTTCCTCAAACATTCTCCTCCACGTCATCCTCCACGTCCTCCTCCTCGTCATCGCATCCTCCTTAAATATTTATTCTAAATATATCGTAATTAAGTGCACTCGTCATGTATCTTAATATTGTGTGCAAAACATATAACTTCTTTATTCCATATGAATAATATTTAGGTTCACATTTGTCTTTATTTGATTTATATGATACAACAGTGTCGCAATTTCTAATAGCTAAGCTAATGTTTTCAATATCATGATGCCGACTCCCGTCAGACTAGAAGGTTAAACCGAAATGTTTATGAAAATATACTGTTTTTTTATTGCAGCAATAAAAATTCAAATTACTGTCTTTTCGTCCATCTTTCAAAATAGATAATATAGCTTCAGTTTGTTCCTGTGTTTTTATTTGGACTATTCCATTATAATGTGTAGGTAACAGGTGGTAGATAATCTGTTCACTGGGCCGTAATTGTTGTTGTTTTAAGGTGTCTGCGAACTGGCTGTCTGCGTAATTGGAGGACACCATAACGCAGACCTCCCAAAATGCAGATTCAAATAGCACACTAATTGATTGGGCCATGCTGGTCACCCCTAATTACTGAATGGCCTGGTCCACTCCCCTACCATAAGGGATCACTGAGTAGTAGTGCACAACAATTCCACCGAAACTAAATTTATGAAATGTTTCTTATGAGTAAGAATGTGACACAAATGCAAACTAAATACTATAATGTATCATTGCATTTGTAACAACTTTTAAATATTATTGATGAAATAAATATTGGCGAAATAAAGGATCACATTGTCAAAGCTCGTTACATGGGTGATACCATTTTTCTTAATGAAGGCTACAGCCAATCGGCGGCTCTGGCACGATTAATTTTGTGACCAATAGAAATGAAATATTGTCAACGCGTGCACGTGGTCATCGTGTGAATTAGCTCATAGTTAAGACGAAGAATACGTTGACGAAGTCGAAGGGATACGTTGAGTTCAAACTTCTTTAATTGGTTACACAAGACATGACATACAAGTACATGTATACAAGACAAGTTCAACCTCAACCCCAGGCCGTTTCCTACGAGCGGCATTATCCTGCCCCCTTTTGAAAATCACATTGAAGATTTTGATTGCGTTGGCGGAGCCAATTGGGGATTCAGGGGGTTCGACCCCCCTGAACCCACTCCTTTCAAAATTTCCTGGATCCGCCCATGGCAACCCTTACCATATTCCCGTGTTGATTCTTATCTGTAATTTGGATGAACGTAACAAAAACACTAATCTTCTTAATTCCTTATTCTTGACCGTTAATAGATAAGCCTCTGTATTTAGAACGAATTTAAAGTCTTTGTAATATGTGACTGAATCAGTTTTGGCGAGGGCAACATTCTGAAATGTCATCATCAGACAAGAAGCACCAAGAATGGAAACGACTATAAACGTCTACAAAAAAAAGATCGCCATTCACATATTTGTCATCACTACTTTGACTTTTACGCCAAATACATTCTATTTTTGACAGGAAATTGGGTCATATAATTCTCTGGAATTGCTGTTTTGTATGTACAATATATGTTTCTAAAACTATTGGTATGGCAGTTCTCGAACATACACCACGACTGATCCAAAAGTAATTTGTATTGTTTCAGTGTCTACCTTCCTGCAAGAGGAGTGACCTATCTCACAGAAGAGACTATGCGTTATGGAACAATCTTTGTACCTTCCTTGATGGCTGATCCGATCAAATCACGCATATATCTCAAACACGCCCACAAAGTCTACAATTTAGGAGATCAGGTTCAAGTGCAAATTGATCTGTATGATAGGAATGGCAACCACAAGAAGACGGGAGGCGATTTGTTGAGAGTTTGGATGGAGAACCCTGAGAGAGCAGCTTTAGTTTCCGGTCGGGTAGCGGACTTCAATAATGGAAGTTATACTGCTTTGTTTAAGGCTGCATGGTCAGGAAGAGCAACAATTAAGGCATTCATTGCTACGAGAAGGGAGGAGATCGTTCTCAGCTACATGATATTTCAAAAGTATGGCAGTCTCTGGACACTTTTAGCTGAATATCAAGCAAACAATCTCACGGATGCCACGCAGTGCTCAATTAGACAAGAAAAGTCCTTAAAGAACGAATGGTGTAATTTCACGAAAGAGAACGACGGTTACAGTTATTACTGCAGGAAGTCCAAAATCAAACAGTTGACTTGTAATACATGGTCGCATTCATATAGTTCATACGGACTTTACATTCTCAATACCACAGAGAAGGGCATCCAGCGTCTGTATGTATGATCTCTGGTATCGTTTAACCTATCGTTCCGTTATTGGTTATCAGGTTTACAAATAATTTGGTAGATTGGTCAGTTGAAAGGCTACAACGTCTTGTGTTTTCGCATGAAAAACGAAATGACATGAAAACGATCGAAATTACAAGAAATTGTAGAAGGAACGAGAATCATCTCGAACCTTCGAAAAGAGTAATAAATAATAATATAGACTCACCCAAGTGACCGCAGCAAGCTTCAGTCGCTGAAAAGGTCTTGTTAGTAAATTCACATAATATGAGTGGAAAAGCCTCTTTTACTTAAAGGAACTTTCATCAAGTTATTCAATATGTTTTGTTTATATCGCAGATCTGTGGAGGATCCAAAAAAAACGATATTTTACAGAGTTCAGTGAAGGTGTCTGTCAACGGAAGTAAGTACGCGTTTCGTTTTGTATACCGTTCACATTCACCGATAGTGTTGACACAAAGGATGCAATGTGTCACTACTGAACAAATCGCCCACTGCGAGTGTCACTTGCCAAACCGTCCATTCATAGTGTTGACAGAAAGGACAGAATTTTCTGTCCCTTTTGACAGCAACGTGATTGGTCAGATTCAGGAAAAGCATGATAAATATGCGGACCTCGCCTTTGAAATGTCTCGCTTGCATCCCTAGTACACTGTCGTCAGACTTCCAATGTTTTCGGTGCCCTTGGTTTGGTACCTCCTGACCTCTTGGCGCAGATCAGGAGAGTGCCCGGGTTCTCTACCGGGAGCACAGCCCTTCTGACACTCTGAGTACTCCAGAAGGCTGCAGTGTTGGGGAACCTTCATATTCTCCGGAATGTTCTTGGTGGGTTCAACTAGGCAGCGTTTCCTGGGAGAAGTCCCACTCGCTGTCTGGACTGCGTGTAGAGGGGCTAAGGGCCTTGAGCTGATAATGAGCCTTACCAGCCTGACTGTGCCAGGATCACCCGAACCCTCTCTGCAGCATTTTAATCTTAATTTGTAAAACATAACAGTCCAATTTTCATGTGCATGTCTCCATGTACATTGCATGCGCGAAACGCCAAAACAATCTGTGTATTACTATTAGCCCGGATAACCCAAGCTGCATGATAGGCGCTAGAAGGTTATACCCATTTTCTGCTGGGCGAACAGAGGTAATTTTGATAGAACTGATGTCTTACTTGTGAACTGAATTCCTAGAAACTGTCAGGAGTCAAGCTGTCAAAATGATTGACTGAGTGTAGTTTTATGTCACTGTAAGCCCTATGTAAGGTACTCAGAAATTGCACTCATATTGCGATGTGAAAGCATATATTGCGATATATATTGCAATATATTGCGAGAGGGTTTTTTAACACAAAACTACTTACAATCGAGTTTAGTGCTTGATTTATAAAGCAAACACACAACAAAATCACTATGCTTGATTGAGCTTTAATAAAAACTATTATTCATGACAAAATGAAAATGTAAATAATATTTGGCACAACACAGTGGTTACTAGTGTGAACTAGTTTCTGAACTGTCAAAAAAAAGCCCTGAGATTCTAGACAGCAACTTGACCTGGTCAGGACATATCAGAGATCACTGGTCATTAATGAGTAAATATTTAAAACATTCAGATCCAAACCATTGCGAAACACTTGAACAAAAATTAAGAACACAATTTCAAACCGACCTTAACTTGACTTCCTTTGTGAAAAACGGAAATACCCGAAGATTTCCGAGTGTTACGAAGTTTTCCGAATGCATTTCAAAATACCGGTTTTCGATCAGCGTGTCGCAATACGTATCGTTTTCATGTCTGAACCGGTAAATACCGGTGATATTGCGCAGCCCTAATAGCACCTACGTCACTTTTGGGGTAGGTATGTCATCCTGATTACCTACAACACACTCATAAATATATATGTATGTATGATCATTTTAAATTCTTCCTGCGATGTTATTTCTTTTAACAGCTTCTAATGGTATGGACATGGCAGCCCCTAGGACTCCATGCAGCAAGCTGGCACCGGTGGTCACATGGCAACAAGAGTCGCCAAATGGTTTCTTTGTCAACAATAAGTGGCATTCGCTGTTGTGTACTGACACTCTGCCCCGCACCACTGATGCTTACAGACAATGCTTGAAAGGAAAGACCCTCTGGCTTCATGGGGACTCAACAAGTAATCAGTTCAAAGAGATTCTTCATTCAATTTTACGTTTTCCTTCCCATAGCGATGCGCATATACCTACCATTGACACAGATGTTAAACACAATTTTTCAATTTCCTGGCATGCTCATGAAGAACCATTCTATCATGGAGGTCGACGCTATGACTGGTCCACAAACCAGGGACAACATGTCGTAATGGACCGTCTCCCGAACACAACCAAGGACATCGTAGTGCTGTATATGTACGTTCATTTCACGCTTGTCCACCCGGACGTGTTCAGGCGACATGTTCAGGGACTTGTTCCTTCAGTAAAGAACCTCTTGGCACGCGCTCCTAATGTAACACTTGCAGTTCGTGGCCCACATGCATTTTTTAGACATTCGGATGCCATTGGTATGTTATCTTACTGGGGTCTTCTGTACGCTGATATTTGGCATGAGGCATTTGCTTCACTGCAGCACCAGATTATTTATTTAGATTTCTGGGACTTGACAATGGCTAAACCATCCCGGGATTGCCACCCAGATGGGAACACGGTGAGAGACAAGGTGCACAACATGATGTCACTTCTGTGCTTTAGAAAATGAAGATGCTGTTACGTCATGTGGACGTATGCTTTGATGTCTGTATTGCCACCGTGAAAGTTTTGTGTCCTCAAATCCTACCCTAGAAAATCCGTTTGAGAATTGATCTTTAGTAACCCTTGTTTGTCGTAAGAGTCGACTAACCAGATCGGGTGGTCAGGCTCGCTGACTTGGTTGACACATGTCATCGCATCCCAATTATATAGATCGATGCTCATGCCGTTGATCACTGCATTGTCTGGTCCAGACTCGATTATTTACAGACCGCCGCCATATAGCTGGAATATTGCTGAGTGCGGTATTCTTTTCTTCTCCCCCACAATCGGTCATCTACCTTGGCATTCATTGGGTTCCTTTAGATGTGTCTCGTCTTTGAAGATAGACATAATGTTCATATTTTTATACTCTTCATGTGTTTTTAGAATCAGTAAGAACAACCACTTGTGATGGATGGAGAATTTTGTTTATTTTATATACACAGAGGAGGTGACCTCAAGCGGACGATATCAGTGTTTTGACAGTGACTGTATTTTAGAAACTCTGACAGTGTATGTACCTTCATGATACACAGTTTCAAAGTTTATTTGTGTGTGTGTTAGCTGCTTTAGTTTGTGGTAACGGTTAATTACAATTATTTGTTTTTAAGAATAGTTGTTGTGGTTTAAAAAAGGGAGGGGCAACGTTTCTAAAAAAGACCATTATCTATGGCTGTTCTTTGGCGAATCCAAGGAAGGATACAACGCATTTATGTTACCGCTATGTTAAGTGTACAAAATATCATTATATTTCATTTTTACCGACTGTATGACAAAATGGCGTCTGTTTCTCGGCTGGAATTTTACAATCAGTGAAACATATTCTGACAAGCTAAAAACTGCTATGAAAATGGTTAATTTATATTTAAGTTGAGTGTGCAAACGATTCAATGTATAAAATAGTTTAAATAAAGCAGTGAAATTCGGTAAAATAAATGTGTACACAGTGAATTCAAAAACAGCTAATCGAACGGTTTTGGAACTCTGTGCACTGCAAGCGTCATATGATGACGTTATACGCTTGTTGGTGATGCAGCTTCTCGGCGGATAGTTTGGCGGTTACCGTGGCAGCGGGTAATATTTTTTTTCCAGTTGTCACCATCCTGGGAGGGGTGACACGGAAACTTGGTTAATGAAATTAAAGTATTTTACATGAAGGTAAGATAAAGGGTAACGGCGGCTTACACAGTTCATGTAGATGTCGATCATATTTGGCTAACTGTTTCATGTATGCAACATATCACCACACGAAATATCAGTTTTTTCCCAATATAATGCCGGCATCGCGTTTTCCTAAAAAAGTGTTATAACTTATATAACACTTTTTAGGAAAACGCGATGCCGGCATTATATTGGGAAAAACTGATATTTCGTGTTGCTGGATGTTTCCCACGGTAAAATTAATTGGGCTTCAAAACTTAGGTTTTGATTAAATAGCATGGGATTTGGTAATGTATGGGACAGCCAGTGTATTAACAACCTAGAGTCATTTCTTTTTGAATTCATTACTAGGGCACAGCATATGTATGTACAGGGTTGGCATGAATCATTAACATCTAGTTCTAAAACCTATTCCTATTCACTGTATAAACATGTATTTGGCCCTGAGACATATTTAAGTTGTATAAATGTGAAACAATTTCGCATTGCTCTTGCACAGTTTCGTTGCAGCTCTCATCAATTACATATTGAGACGGGTAGATATATTAATAAGCCAAGGAATCTCAGATTATGTCATATGTGTTCGGGTGCTTACATTGAAAATGAATATCATTTTCTCCTAATATGTTCTGCCTATGATCATCTGCGTACATCTTATATTCCTGTGAACTATTATACATACCCATCATTATGCAAATTTAATACTTTGATGTCTGTAGACAATTCCACTGTGTTAGGAAATCTAGCTATGTATCTATTTTATGCGAATGAGCTGCGTTCAAGCCGTTTGTTGGCTGTATGAAGTAATATTGTACTACGGGCCGATGGCCTACATACACCAGAATAAAGAGATTTTGAATATTAAACTTTCAAGTAAATATACTTATCATTCGAACCCCATAAACGTTCACAATGTATTTATCATTTGGCCCCCACAGATCATGAAATAACAGTGCATTTGGGAAACATACAAGTATGATAGAGGTATGTAAATGAATGAGTTGGTTTTTACACAGCTTTTAGCAATATTCCAGCAATATCACGGCGGGGAACACCAGAAATGGGCTTCACACATTGTACCCATGTGGGGAATCGAACCCGGGTCTTCGGCGTGACGACTGAACTCTTTAATCACTAGGCTACCCCACCGCCCGATAGACGTATGTGCATGAGGTCATCGTCTTCAAATATTGATAAGGTGTGGAATGCTTGTAAATGTTGTTCGACACAGGTTTAAATGCCCTTGAAATCGTGTATTACCAAGTTTGGACTTATGTTTCATACACTCCTAAATGATCGAACACATGTTATTGTATTAGGGGCGGTGGGGTAGCCTAACGGTTAAAGCGTTGGCTCGTCACGCCGAAGACCCGGGTTCGAATCCCCACATGGGCACAATGTGTGAAGCCCATTTCTGGTGTCCCCCGCCGTGATGTTGCTGGAATATTGCTAAAAGCGGCGTAAAACCAAACTCAGTCAGTCAGTCAGTCAGTTATTGTATTAATGCAGAAGTCGCCATACATGTCGGTTTACGTTGTAAATATCTTGATTGTCGATCACCTATTATTATATTCCATACGAATAATGTTACTTTCGTGGGGCGGTTGGGTAGCCTAGTGGTTAATGCGTTTGCTCGTCACGCCGAAGGCCCGGTTCGATTCTCCACATGGGTACAATGTGTGAAGTCCATTTCTTGTCTCCCCGCCGTGATATTGCTGGAATATTGCTAAAAGCGGCTTAACACTATACTCACTCAGCTACTCTTACTTTCTTAGAGCTTAGTCCTAGTCATATCTTACTACGACTTGTGTGTGTGTGTGTTTGTGTGTGTGTGTGTTTAAATTTGCTTGACTATTTGTTGCTAAGCGCTAACGATATTCATCTACGTTTTTATGAGGATGGTCTTTTCAATTTCTTTATTTCAGTTGATATTCAGAGCAATGACCTATTACAACATAGAATACATAGACAATATAATAGCATAGTGCGCAATACCGATGACCCGGGTTCGAGTCCCCACATGGTGCAATGTGTTAAGCCCATTTCTGGTGTCCCCCGCCGTGATATTGCTGGAATATTGCTAAAAGCGGCGTAAAACCAAACTCACTCACTCACTCACTCACTCATTCTAATAGTGCTTTCATTATTATTTGCCATTAGGTAAAAAAATTGTTGTGACATTGAGATATTGTTTTCCGATGTGTGAAAGTGATCTACATCCCAAAAGAAAATGGTATTCATCCTCTATATCTCCCGATTTAGATAATTTACACTCGACTCCGTTCATCCTCCCGTTTCTATTTCTTGTCTGAGTGTGCCGCAACGAATGTTTGCCAAAGTGCTCCTAAATTTATTTATTTGTAGTGAGTTGATATGTTCTTCAGTTTCAAATCTATACTTAAACAATTTGTAGTTTTGTACTTTAGATGTATTATTTATTGAATTAAACAAGTCTGATATGAATACGTCTCTCTTCTTCTTTGCTTACATTCTTGGAAAAATAAATTTATGTTTTGCACCTACTGATTTGCCCATACATGCATAAATCCATTAGAGCATAAAATGTTTCTTACCCTGCTAACCCAGTTTACTTCTCCGTTAGTGGCATAGAGAAGTGACATGCTGTAACATTTTGTACATATCTATGGTCAGGCATCCTGGTTTTTTTAAAGCCAATATTTAATGACTCTTACTAAAGTGTTAACAAATAGAGGGAAACGGCGAGTTGTAAATATCTCTTACAAGCTATTACCTGAATTATATAATAATGGCCATTTGTAACGCGCCTGTTCCACACACTTGTGCTTGCTCAAAGCGCCAACACATTATTACCCTGGATAACCCAAGCTGCCTGTGAGGCGCTAGAAGGTTATTAGTCACATGACTTGTCCCACCGGGTACCCATTTTCTGCTGGGTGAACAGAGATGATTTTAAACAAACTCGTTACATGTGCTTCGTTGTGGGGCTGAACTGGTGTCTGAGAAACTCTCAGGAGTCAGGCTGCCAAACACGGTCACCCATCCAAGGACTGTCCGAGCTCAACGTTGTTTAAATTCAACTGATCTGTGACTAGAACTCTACGCACCCCTACGTAACCCCAAATTTCTACACACCCCTACTTATCCCCAAATTTCACACCCGTATGTTAGGATTGGTTCTATTTTGGTATCGATAATATGGAACATTATCTTGCTATTTTTAGAGCAGTTCATATTCAATTTCTGTAGAACACTATTTAAAGCTCGCTTCCCTTCCATAGCTCTTCTACTTATAGCATATTTCCATGATAGCTGAGGAGTGAAATATATACCAAGTTATTTATAATTACTCACAACTTTTAACTCTTCTCCATCAAATTCTCAATTTTCATTTGTACTTAACACACTTCCCTTTCTGAATACCATTATATTTGATTTTGCCATATGAACTTTCAAACCACATTCGATGGAAAATGGAGAAAGAATGTTTATCTATTTTTGAAGGTCCTTACCCACATTAGAAAACAACACTATGTCGCCAGCAAAAAGAAGTGAATATATATCTACAAGATCAGGCATATGTTGTAGCCCACATCAGTCTGAACATTCAATATCAAAGGGATCATAATGCAACCCTGTTTTAAACCCATAGGACATTTGAAGAATTCTGAATGCGTACTATTATTATGTCTTACACAAGCAGAGGCATCATTATATAGATTATGTATTATTTGAAATAATCTGTCTTTTATTCCGACGCGATTACATAATTTCCACGATTTTGGTCGCTTTGTCGTAAGGCCTTCTTAAAGTCTATGAACGCTGCATATAATTTCCTTCTTTTCTTCGTTATTTATTTCTCTAACAATGCTCTTAAAATAAACATGCTATCAATAGTAGAATACTCGTGTCTAAATCAAGCGTGCGATTCAACAATCTTATCAAATATCTCTGTCATATTCTTAGTCGGTTATATATGG